TGTCATTGTTGAACAAAGCGTTGTTGTAGTTAGGATGGACGATGATTTGGGACACAGTGCGGGTCACCTGATTAGCATTAGGGCCACTCTGAGTCAATTTTCCACAGTAGAGAGTCCAGACGCTAGTTTTGTTTCTGGATTTAAAATAAGACTCATGAAATTATCACTGTTAAATCATGTAATGTCTCATATTGCAGGATAACCCATGCCCCATCATCTTTTCACTGTTAAATCATGTAACAAGACCTTTACTGTATGTATCCAGTACTTTGTTTGATAGACACATGAACCCAAGTGAAAACTAAAATCCAGTTTATTAAAGCATGTGTTCAGACAAAGACAACTCACTGAACACAATCTCTGTGAGTTAGATGGCTGATCACCTGAGCAAGTGCTGCAGATCAGTTGCACTCCTGGTCAAACCAGAACTAGTCTAAGCAGATCTAATATCACACATGCAACCTGCTTTGAAGAGAAGACAGAAATGACAGCGTAGTGAGTATTTAGTCTGCAGCTGTAATGTTAAAATTCATGATCAGATCCACAAATCAAAGTGTAATAAGGTATTGCTTATACAGTACAGAGGAAGGTGATTGGAGTGCTGTGTGCCTTTGTCACTTCTTCTAGTTACAAGGGTTTTAGTTAATATGACCAAAATATAGAAAAAAATCCAAACACATGAAGAGCTGATGAGTATGTCTTACATTAGGATGCAGTGGGCTGCTGTGAGGACCCACTGGTCACTGATGAGGGTCCCTCCACAGACATGAGATCTGGAAATGTGCACGCTGACTTGCCAGGGCCATGAACCAGCTTTCACGTTCACACCACCCACTATCCTTGTGTTTAGCGGTGCCACACCACAGTCTGACAGAGCATAAACAACTGTGTGTCAGTACATGTACAGTTAGGTTAGGAAGATTCCTGTGTGAAGCTAAAATGTTTGTAACTTTGTCCATAGTTGTTGACATAGTTTATGTGTCAGTGTTATTCTCATGCAGTACTTACAGTCCATCACCTGAGCATTTACATCATCATGACTTTATGGAATATATGAAAAGTGACTGCACTTACCCTGAGCCTTTGACCCTGTAGGAAAGAAAGATGGAAAAAATAACTTACATATGTCTTCTTCAGTGTGTGTCTGTGTGTGTTTAATTATTTAGACCAGGAAATCCTGCCATGGATAAGAGAATCATCAGTGTAGTAGAAATATGTAACCACAGCCACAAGGTGTCACTAGAGTTGCAGCTGCTTCCTCTAAATCTGAACGGTGTGATGAGCTGTAAACGTACAGCACCTGTGATGTTTTATGGGTTGAAGAAGAAGTCCCCATGCTACAATATTTTATGGTGTTACAACATATGTTGTCAGGCCCTGTTGTCTGCCTGTATCACCCTTATCAGCCTTGTATGCATTAAAATAAGGCAAATAAAGCACACTGAGAAAATGAGAACAAATAAAGCAAACTAATCAAGCACACTAATTTTCAACAAAAACACTCTTAAAATTCCAGCATTTGAAAGTGTTCTTGTCCAACAACATGACCGCCCACCTTGGTGTTGTCGGCAGACTCCAGTTGCTTAGGCAATGTGCACTGATTTGACTGATTTGACTGGCAGACGAGAGGTGGTGCAAAATCAAACTACAGCAATCAAAATCAGTGCCCACACTTAGACACATGCTGCCAAATGAACGGAGCCTCTCTAGATGTAGAGCTTCTTGTTAGCCATCCTACCTTCGATGGTGCTATTTGTTCCAATAGCATTGCTGACGAGTTACACTATGTCAAAAGACATGCATGGCAAAAAGGATGTAAAGCCACAGAATGACTGTTATATATATATATGTATATATAGACTATCTTTGTGTTCAGAGGTGCCACACCACAGTCTGACAGAGCATAAACAACTGTGTCAGTACATGTACAGTTAGGTTAGGAAGATTCCTGTGTGAAGCTTTCTTGTTTGTGTCTGTTTGTCCATAGTTGTTGTCATAGTTTGTGTCTTCATATGTTGTCAATAGTTTGATGTTAGTTACTTTCATGCTAATTTTCATTGCAAAGCACAAAGACAGTAAAGATTTACTTTATACTGTTCTATTCTGTGCAGCAGCTACGGTTCATCACCTGAACATTTACATCGTCATGACTTTATGGAAAATATGAAAAGTGACTGTACTTACCCTGAGCCTTTGACCCTGTAGGAAAAAGAGGGATGAAAAAGTTAACGTACTTACATATGTATCCTTCAGTGTGACTCTGTGTGGGCTTAATTATTAAAAACCAGAGAATTCTGCCATGGTACCTTGGCTCGAGAATTATCAGTGTATGTGTAACCACAGCTACTAGGTGACAATAGACTTATTTATATACACACAACACAATCTCATTAAGCCAGATAGAACTGCCACCCTATATGCAAATGCCTTGGAACTACAACTCAATTGTTTCCTCAGTCCTATTGTCATTGCCATTCATTTTACGTAACATATAACTCATCAAACAGGTTTGACTTATTGCAGAGATAATCGTGTTGATAATGAATCTGAACAAAACTTACTTTAATACTGTATGTGAAAGTTTTACTCTTAAATCACTGTACAGCTAGACTATACTGCACCCACACCTCATATCAGTGAATTCAGGCTGTTTTATGGGCAGCTTTACAGTATATCACAGGATTCATTTCAGTTGTATTTGTCTGTCTGATATTTTGGTGTGTTATGTGATTAATTGTAGCTTTTTCCTTTTCAGCTGTCATATATCAGTATGTCCATGACATAAAGGAAAACATTTTCCCTTGACCCCTGAAGGTGTTTAAGCTTGGACCTTTATACTATGGTTCAATGAGAAACAACATTTCAGTTCACTGTACGTTTCTGAACAAGGTGTGAAATGACAATAAAGCTTGATTTGATCTGGGACAGAAGTGAGGTCACTGACCTTGACCTTTGACCACCAAAATCTAATCAGTTCCTCCTTGAGTCCATTTTATTGTTGGAAACTGAAGGAAACTGTGATCTGCAAAGTTTCAAATAACTGATAAATTATAAAGTACAATTTTCTACTCCAGTAAAATGCAGGGCTCGTCTACCTGTTGTTGACTGTTACAGCCAGATGAAGAAATTAGAGCCATTTTTAACTTTTCTTTAGTCAAAGTTTTCCAATTAATCCACAGATTTGGCAACAGGCCTCATTGTCTCAAAACACTAAACACAATTCAAAGGACCACACAGCCAAAGTACTAAACACTTGACACATTACACACAAAACTACAAAAACATATCAAAATCAAACATTTTAGTTTGAAATAAATTGTACAGGTGTACCTAATAAAATGGTAACTCAGTGTAAAAGCTCACCTTGCCCAGTGAGGACCACACACATCAGGACTATCCAAAGAGTCCAGGCTGCCATACTGTACTGTCAGTGCTTGTGTCCAGTAAGTGCAGAGAGTCTTCGTGACTTGGCTTTTATTTTGGTCACATGTCACAGTACAGAGACCAGTTTTTCTTGATATTTAAAATGTTCATTAAGTAGTTCTGCACTTGAAAGCCTGCATGTATTCCTCAAAGCATGATGTAATTTGTTTACAGTAAAAAGATGTTTTCTGAATAACTATAATGTTTTTGGAAGCATAAGTAATAACTAGCCAATATTTCAATAGTCCTCTCTTTCAGTGCCCAGTGAGGACATTTCTTCTTCTTGTGCATGAAAGCCATGAACAGTCCATGTGTTTCATTTATCTAACGTGTGTATTTGTATCATAATGTAAATATAAAGCAGTAGTCATGTCTTTAGGATTTGAACAATTTTTCATGTGTTCAGCAAATGTGGTTGTGCTTCCAGCATTTTTAGTCTTAATTTATTACCTTATATCTTAATCTATCATCCATTACATTTTCTTTTCACTCCAACATTTTTAAAAACATTTACACTATAATTTTATGCAAAGAAGTTTATAGTAATAATCCAAATACATTATTTTTCTAAATGTGCATAAGAAACTATAAGTCAGCTGTATGAAAAGATGTTTATTAATGTAAACTGGAAAAGTTACTGTGGTTCTCAACTGTTCAGTGTTTTCTTGGCCAACCACTGCATCAGAAATAAGTTCTTATCTCGAAACATACTTCTGCTTTTCCCCCCTTTACACTCTGACCACGAGTGTCATTTCACTGTGGCTGAGCGTAGCTGTTAGTGTGTAGCTGAGCTGAGGAATTAACATGCTGTTTATTTCTGAACTTGTTCCTCTCACATTATACAGCAAGTACAGAATGTAAAACAGGTTTTATTCTTTGTGTATGAAATTAGGTAGAAAATGATTACAACTTCCATGTGAAGTATAGTAGCACAGTATGTTTAAATGCTGATGTGTGAAATTGGTGGGGTTCTCATTTATGACGTGAGACTATATATATAAAACCTATTGCTTATGCAGGCTGGTCTGTGGCCTACTGTTATTGGTCAGTTTAGTGTTTTACTTTTATTAAAGCGATGGAGGAAACATTAAGATCTTTTTGTCTGTTTATGAAGGTTGTTCATAATGATAATCACAGTGTAATGCAGCCTACTTTGACCGGAGCTCCTGCTTTTTCCACCAAGACTGATTTAACCCCTGCTGTTGGAAGGCGTACCTATTTTAAAACAACATAGACGTACAAAACATCACACATTTTTGTGGCCTGGCTTGTCAGAAGCTCCCACATCCGCAAACTCTGCAGCAAGCAGGTTGATGAACTCACTGGTGAGTCAGCTGCGTTAATCATCCTCTTCCTCATAATGATAACCGGACATAAGTCAATATAAGGAACTGAACCGTTACTTCCTTCTGAAGTGTTGTGAACTATTCACATTTGGATGCAGCTTTTTGCTTCTGGTCAACACTGTGGAGGAAAACTAAACTGGCAATTTCTAGAAGAAATTAACTCAGATGGTCTGAGTGTCAAAAAGAAGACCTTTTGAAGATGGACCCTGACAGTTCCATCGCCAGGATGGAGAGGACTCTCTGGACAGTTTGGGTGAGCCGCTGCATTTGAAACCACACATCTACTGGGATAACTGCTGTAATGCTAAAGTCTGAAGACTGTAAAATGTGGATGTAAAATCATTTTCTGTCTCCCTGTGTGTAAACCTCTCTCTCTCTCTCTCTCTCTCTCTCGCATACACTGTATGAATGTCTCTCCATTCCCCTTCTGTCCTTCCCTGGTTTGTGTGTGTGTGTGTATGTGTGTGTGTGTGTGTGCACGTGCAAAGTGTAGACACACACACACACACACACACAGTATCTTTGTTCCTGTAGCAACATGACCATAATTAAGCACAGGGTTTACCATGCACACTTAAAAAGTACAAACATTCATGGAAGCCTAAAAATAATGTGAAACATTTTAAATATGGCTGCAGGTATTTGTCGGGGAGTACTCCATCATAACTTTCTAATCATTTCTCAAAACTGTCCTGAAAATAACTCAATTTTATTTTGTTTTAAATGTATTGTTATTATTATTGTTGTTGTTATTGTTATTGTTATGTTATCTCACAGATTGTAGGTTATTAGTGTGGGGTTTGGTTAGACAAGGTGCACATTTTTTGTATGTTCAGCTGATGTGCTGTACATTGACCAAACAAGTCTATAGAATTCATTAGCTTATAGCATTTTTTAGAAATTATTTATTTGGTGGTTTACCAATTGATCCCTGTTTCAATTTTTCCTATATTTAGTACCAAATAAAAGGAAGCAGCCTTGGGAATTTGGAATTTATGGAGTCAAAGTCAGTGTTTAAGTAAAACAATCATCAGTATTATTATTTTAAAAATGACCACATTTAAAGTGAAAGGAGTTGTTTAGTGATTAATAATTACTATCTGACTCCTCTCATCCGCTCTAGCAGCATTTTAGTAAGATACTAAAAGGCTCTTTTTTGGGTTTTATATGCAACTTTACTGTTTTGCTTTGCCCTCACCCCTCTCATCAACCTATTTGCAGAAGGTAGCTGATTTAAGAATTAAAGCTATGGTGAAACCATTGTTTGCTACCATTATAATCAGACTGAATTGTAATTTAGTCTCACTTCCTTTAACCAAACAGCAAAGTGTGAGACTAGTTGGTGACCACACTTGCAGCTAATGAGCCATATATCAAGGAAATGGAGGATCAGAGTAAATACTGAACATACATTCATCAGGTTGCCTAAAATATGACTCCAAATGAGTGATAATGATTACTGTCTACTGAAGGTTTAAATGGGCAACTGATGGGTTACACATTTGCCGTACCAACTTTATGGAGTGTCAGAGTTTTGTGTACAGCTTATGTACGGTCTATGCCTAGAAGTATTAGATGGGATTGAGATCAGGGCTCTGTGCAGGCTGGTCCAAACTCCAAAAACCATTTATAGATCTTGCTTTGTGTATAGGTGTATTGTCATGCTGAAACAGGAAAGGGCCTTCCCTAGACAGTTACTGCAAAGCTGAAAGGACACTATTGTGTAAACAGCCTTGTACAGAATGCTGTAGCATTAACAAGTTCCTTAACTGGAAATAAAGCACCATCTCAAAGCACAAAAGCAGCATCAGACCAAAATGAACAGAAGCTATAGAAACAGGTGACCCCATATGGTTTTAATATAATAATATCACATATTTAAACAATTGTAGCAACTGCACATGACAAACACAGAACATACATAGAACAAAAATAAGCTAAGTCTTTCTCTTCATCTCTTTCTCAGTGTTACATAACTGGAGCTGTGAACCGATTCCTCAGGCCAGAGCCCGCTAACATCGTCACCAGTGACCCTAACTCCTTCCAGGAATCTGCAGGTAACAGTGAGCCTGCTGACAGTCGTCACACAGAGGGCGATGCTAGCGGACAGGAAGTCGATGAGGAACAAGCTCTTGCAACAGCCTCTCTGCTTAGTTCACCTCACCCAGTTGTTTCCTGGGAACTTTGCACCACAGATATCAGCTTAGGCCCTGATGAAGACGGCACACAATACAAACCCCAGCTGGGTGGAACCAGTGAGCGAGAAATATGTGAGGAAGGTGAGGGCACGAGAGAGGAAGAACAGTTCGGCCAGACAGGAGAGGATGATGCAGGGCTGGTCATCACTAAGGATGCAACAGCAATAGAAGACAAAGAAAAGGAAAACAAAGATCACAAATTATACACTCACCAACAAGGTGAGGAACCTGATGAAGAACATGTGAAGGTGATGCCGCTAATTCTTACAGATCATGCAAGTGAAGGCACGGATGGAAGTGGAGGAAAGGCTGGTGCCAAGGAAGAAACTCAAGGGGAGGCAGAAAACAGTACTGTAAAATTGTCTCCCATCACAGTTTTGACTCTAGAAGAGGAGGATAACATGCACATAGAAGAAGCAAGTGTGCAATGGAATAAGGTGGATACAGTGATGATACATGAAGAAGTAGAAAACTGTGATGTTGTGTTACAGCTGGAAAACAAGATTGATGAGGCAGCAAAACCAGTTGAAAATCAGGTCTCAGTCTGTGAAGAGTTGTCAGATAATGACCAAGATGTCAAAGGAGACCCAGACTTTACTTTGCTGCAATTACAAATGGCCTCTGACAAAAAGGACATTGTGTCAGAGGATGATGAAGAAGAGTATGTGATGGCTCAAAGAAGTGAAAGTGATGAAGATGAGGATGAAAGAGAGGAGGAGGGAGATGAGAGCACACTGGATGAGATGGAGCAGGGTGAGGACAAAAATGTGTATGAGGCTTCAAACAACCAGACAATAGATGAGGAGCCAGAGCATGAAGAGCAGATCAACACTGTCACAGAGGACAATCAACAAGAAGACATTCTAACTGAACATATTGTATGCTGCCAAGCAGTTGTGCAGAATGCTGAGACAGAGCTACACACAGCTGAAGAACAAGAGGATGTGGCTAAGGCCACCAAAGTGCAAACCAGCACAAGACTGACAGATTATGTCAAAGATACAGCGATCAATGATAATTCTTACTTAACATCAGACATTTCAGAAAATGAAAGTTGTTTAAATAAAGATCCTGTGGTAGATGAAATGCTCTCACGGGAAGAAGACAATAAAAGTTACATGGAAATAGCATGTACAACCCCATCTGTTACAGTAAAACCTGAAGGTGAGACTAGACAGGAAGTAAGTGCAGAGCTTAAAAATATTCCTTCAGGGAAATGTGAAGGCCAGACTGTTGTATCGCAGGAGCTAAATTCTCCAACATGTGAGGAAACACAAGAGGGAGTTCCTGAATACAACAATGAACTCAGGCCAGACAAAAATACAACACAAAGGTTCCTGAAAATAGGAGATGGCGAGGAAATCCAAAAGACGCAATTACCAGAAGAGGTGGAGACCATAGACCCAGAGAGCCTTCAAAACAGTGACTGTAGCACTGGAGCTGAGTACAAGGAACAAGAAGGCACTGAAGATATTAATAAAGAACAAGTTGGAGTATTGATCTTTACAGATACTGAACTGCCGCAAGAAAAAGACAAAACATTTTTTGAACCCCTGACTCAAGAATCGGGACTCTTGTTTGAAGAAGAGGGAGGAACATTGCTAGTTTGCTCAATGAAGACAGAGATCGAACATTCAGAGAAGGAATTTGACACATACACTGGCTTAGCAGGTGAGACGGTTAAGAGAAGCAAAGAGCTGCAGGATGGGACTAAAGTTGAATTTGGAATAGATGAAGGGTTAGGTGACTCTGAAGATGCTGCTGGAGAAGGCCATCTGACAACAGGAAGTGTAGCAGCAGAGGACACGGTCAGATTCACTCATGAAACTGTAACATCCGTTGAAGCTGAAGTAGAGAAGATGACAGAGACAAGCTTCTTTCAACAACCAATAGATGCCATAAACTCAGACCAAAACAGCAACATGTCCCCTAGTTCTCCAGAAGACTTAACTGAATCTGGATTCTTGAAACAGTCAACTGAGACTGAGCCAGGAGTACTTGAAGATTGTACAGTAGACATTCAAGAAGCTGTGTTAGATATGGAAGAAACAAGTTATGGAGTTAAGGAGGCGGCAGAAGATGAAATGCAGAATAAAAATGATATAGAGATTTTAAATCAGCAGCTGGTGGAAATTGTAGTTGAGCCAATCAAAGAATCAGACAAAAATCCACTTACTTCTGAATCTGAATTATCTTTACCAGTTGAATCACTGGAGACAAGAAATCAAATATTAGATGAGGCATTTGAGATAAGCAATGAGGAGATGTTAATAGGCACTGAAGCAGCTGATAGGTTAATGGCAGCTGAGTCCAAATCAGAAGATCTGACTGTGGTATCATCAGATGAACTTGTGACAGACTCAGAGGGACGTTATGCTGAAGAAACAAGTAGGTCAACCAGTGGACCTCACAATGTGATAGATGAAGAAATCCTTGACTTGTGGATACAGACAGCATTGTCAGAGAACACTGATGGCATGAAACAACAGGATGAGCCTGAGCCTGGACAACAAACAAGCACCAAAATAGAGCCATCAAATGAGGAACAGGCTGAAATATCATCAGTGCAGACAGAGACGAAGACAGAGCAACTTGTGGAGTCATATTCAGGACAATCTGGATTAGTGAATGACACGGAAATGGCTTCTTCAACAGTGGAGTCTGGATTTTTTGATCAGAATCTCTGTGAATGGGGCATACAAAACACTGAAACTCAGCTACTGAAATCAACTAGCACTGAGTTATTTCAGGGAATGTATGACATGAGTGCTAGTGTGTCAGAATCAGGAGACACTTCTGAATTGTCCACACAACAATTTAAGGCTGAGTCTCAGGATATGTTGATGGAAGAAGCCACTGAAGCAGGACAGCCAAATCTGAAAGAGGAGGAATCAGTTATTGAGACAGGTTCACACCCTGATTCAGGAGATTCATCAGACGCTAGGTGTCAAAATCAGGGATCAGATAAATCACAAGAAAAGACAGATGAACAAGTTGAATCAGAGGAGACTCACACTGGATCACAGGGAGATGCTGAAGGAGCAGATGCCGAGTCACCCACAAAAATGAGCACACTTTTCAAAGTCGAAGATGAAGATGAGCTTCTAGAGATAACTGTGGCCGAGTCTCTGGGCGAAGCAAAACACACAAAATCCAGTCGATCCACAAGCGGCTCAGAGGCTTCATTGGAGAAAGGAATCATATCAGCAGAATGTGAATCACAAATTGGCACCTGGACTGAATCTGACAATCTGACAGATAAACCACAGCCTGGATGGTCAGAAGATATTGCTGAGCTTAATAGGGTGGAGGTGGTAGAACAGATGATGGCAAAGTATGAGGATCAGCCTCAGGTATAGTTTATATAAAAAACATTTAACCATTAAAATGTCTTCACACAGTTTTCATAACAGAGATTATGTGAATTCAGCTGCTTTTGTCATTGCAGGTGGACACCGCAGCACTGGACTTTACTGCTCAGAGGTCAAGAATTTCTCTTAAAAACCCTCATGTGAGGCCACCCAAAGATCCTCGCGCCCTGCTACATATGCCCTCAGTGGAGCCCACACCGTCTTCACATCTGCCAGTTAAAGTCGCTGTAGGTGTGCCCCTGGCAGGCTTGGGCATTGGAATAAAACTGCCTGGTAGGTCATTTACTGCACAGCAACTGGAAAACCATCTGGTTATTTTTCATAGTCTGTAAATAATGGCCCATGTTTTTGTTTTTTTAGGGTTTGGTGCAGGTTTCCCTGTTTTAAAAAAGACAGAACATGTGAAAAGAGAAGAAAATAGCCTAGAAACCGTCTCACAGGTACTAGTAATCATCTTTCAGTAACATTCTTCTCTCATGTTGAAGTATATACTTTAATAAAATGTCACTATATCAGCAGAAACCTGAGACAAAGACAGAGGACAAGAATGATACTCCCAAACAAGACGAGGCACAACCCAAACCTAAATGGATGCCACCGAGACATCCAGGGTAAAGTCTGAGATTATATTACATTCAACACAAGAGTCATCTTGTGTTCAGACGTTGTCTAATCCTTAGTTTCCTCATTCTTTTTCTCTAGATTCGGAAACCCACTTATGTCTGAGTTGAAAACCAAACTGAAGAAAACCACAAAAGAGTGAGAACATTGTAGTAATGCTTTTTGTGAATATCTGAATATAATACACATGGCTTTATTTTTTGTGTATTTATCAAACTGAATACAGTGAATAGATGTGTATCATGTCAATTATTTGTTTTATCTTTAATTCTTGTAATAAAGCTGCAGTGAAGAACAAATGGTATACACAGTGTAAAAAGTGGTAATAACTGGCGTCTCTGGGTTTATAGCACACATAATCATCATGGTCTCAAATCTTAATAGGCAAAACAATACACAGTAGACAAAAGCAAAAGAAAAAAGCACACTTTCTGAAGCTTAATGCTACCTGCTTAGGGAGCGCCCAATTCACAAATGCAAGAAACTGAATGAGATCTGATAGTGTGAAGTGCGACTGTGTGTCATGCATTCCCTGACATGAAAATTATCAGTTCGGTCAAAAAAAAAACAAACAAAAAAAAAACAACACCAACATTAAGTGTTTTAATAACTTGTTGGACCACATTGAATCTCCAAAGCAGTTTTAGTGCTTGTGGAAATCGCTGGAAGGGGAGTGATGAACACAATTCTTCATCAAATAGTATTTGTGAAGTGCTTTGCTACAGAACATGAACACACTGAACTATAACTGTTTATTTCACTGGGTAAATGACATAATTGATCGATATTTTTATGTTGGTATTCATAGTAGTTATATCTGGAAAAGAGACTTATGAGTGAGCATGTCTAAGCTCGTTCCATCCCTCATTTCCCAAAGCAGCTCTACATAAATTATTGAAGTGGCACAGACTGGCTGTGTTAACTGAAACCATAACACAGTCTGGATCTCCTCATAACTTCAAAATCAGCCACCAAAACATGTTCTTGCTGTCCGAAGCTATTTATGTGCACCAGATAAGAATACTGTTTGATTAAACTGAACAAAAAGTACAAATAAACGTATGTTTATTTGAGAAGTTGATTAAGAAAACAAAAAGTGTTATCAAGACAGCAGATGGCAGTATGTTCTTATCTTGTAAACATTATTCACTCCTAAATACACATAGAAGAAGAAGAAGAAGTAGAAGAAGAAGAAACCTCACAGCTGTGATTGGTTGGGATTATCCAATGAGAGTAAAGAAGGTTCGTAGTTTGAACCGGAGCGGTGCTTCAGTGGGAATGATTTCTTGAACATTTGGATTGACTGTTAACGTCTAGTTAGCGTTATTGGGTCCTGAATTTAACAAGCTCGAGTAAACAACGTAAAATATTCTCACAGACATAAATATTCATCAAGTCGTTCTTGCTGAGAAAGGTAGGTCAAAGTTGTTTCCATTTTACCAAATAACGTAAACGTTATCGAGCTAATATTAGCTTCGTTTCGGTCGGGACTTAGCTATTGTGAGCGTAGCACACTAACGTTATTGTAAACTGCCAGCATAAAAGTTGACAACAACATTGGGCATATTACATTTCACCTGCGTTGTCTGTGATTATTGCGATGAAATTCTGATGTTATTATGTCTTACGTTACAGTTAACGTTAACCCTTTAATGGCTCTGAGCTTTACCGAGTTATATTGACAGTAAATTGACGTTAATGTTCGTAAACATTAGTCAAACAGCTCCAGTAGTACGCAAACCCATAAATATACGTTCCTACATGAGTTCTTCGTCACCATGTATTGTTAAATGTAAGTTACAGGATAGAGGTGGATGACACAAATGTAACGTTAGTAGCAGTAAAGCCATTATTTGGCAATAATTGTGGTGAATTACCATTGGCCCATTCTAAGTTAACGTGATCAACCTTGAAATGCAGAGGTACAATGGTTTGCATTAACTAAACATTTTAATCCACAGACTGTTGGCACAGAGAGTCTGAGAAGACCCCTGAAAAAATGTGTCAAGAAATCTGAGGTTTCACCCTCTCTCAACAAACAACACCCTATTTTCTTCGTGTGAATGCAAAAGAAAAAATGTCCAGCCTGGGTAATGAGACAACAGTGCAGACTTCATGTATTCAGGAAAATTCAGACACTGATGAATGTCGTGAAAATATTCCACCAGGAGTTGCTGCTCCAGGTGAGACATCAGAGGTCAAGGTCGAAATAGGAGATGTGGCAGGATATTCCTGTACACCGCCAAAGGGAGAAAATAAGCCTCTCTTTGATGACACCTACACTCTTTAAACCACCTCTCTGAGAAACAGCCACGGTGGAGTCAAGGCAAAATTACAGCTCTCTGGACTGCAGTCTACACTAACACCAATTTTAAAACACTTAAATCTTGGCAGTACATTTACCTCTCCAGAGCCTTTAAAACATGGAAACAATTCTCATCTCAGAGCTCCTGTCTTTCCTTTTAATTTCACCACAGCTAATTCTCAAAAATCAGCTGTAGGTTCTAGCCAACATCACAACTCTGATTTCTTCAGGAGTTGTTTTGGACAGCCACTAGATGACAAGGATGCCTCTGTGAGCTGGTTAAAGGATGAATGCATTCCAGAAATTACGCTCCTTGACTGTACATATGATTCCATAATGCATCTCACTAGAAATGATTCATCTCTTCCTGACGTTGTGCCTGCAACACCTACAACAGCTAGGTCTATGAATAGCACATTTACCACTCTCCAACCCTCCCAATTGAGTTCCTGCACTGACTTAAACACTAGTGCTCCAAAATCCTGCCCTCAGAACAAGACACCAGATCCTCTGCAGTCTAGTGTTAGTAGTGCTAAAGCAGAGAGTGGGGCTACAGATCAGGTTAGTTCAGTCTCTAGGAGCACCACTGAAGCTTCTCTTGTTATGAATATGAATAGTTCAACTGATAAGACAAGTGGCTCAAGTGATGTGCAAGCCATTCCTTTTGATGGTCATTCTCTTCAGACAACTGATGGTAGTACTGTTTTAGGGGAAACTGGTGCTACAACCTCATATCTCAAAAACAGCATGTTGAATGCTAAACAGAGTGGTGCAGTGTGTGTGTCACAAAGGAGCTCAAGTGAGAGGCACCAGAATACTGTGGGCGAGCCCTCTCCTTTTGAGGTGTGTCATGCAATCTCAAGTACTCAAGAAAATTCTGAAGTCCACCCTCCTGAACTGCCAAAACACAACAGGACGGCAGCCAGGTCAAATGCTAATGCCAAGACGGCGGACACCACGAGGCGCACTGCATGGTGGTTCGATGACAGACTGTTCCCAGAAATTACACTCCTTGATGTTACACGTGATTCAGAATTTTCACCAGGAGAACAAACGTCCCCTATGGAGGGCACACAGGATTTTCCACCATCTGATAGTTTGAAAAAGATCATCCAATACTTAGAGATCAATGGAAAAATTGTGAAAGAGCCTCCGAGATCAGACATAATTCAAGGTGAAGAACTGTCAAGTGCTCTTACTGGCAGCACCACCTGCACTCTAGACACCTTTGATGAGCAATCTGTTAAGAGTGTGAGGGAAAATGTAATGAAAGCTTATTTAGAAGTAACTCGGGATATGTCTGAGAGCAGTGTTTTGGAAAACTGTAGGACTTCATCGGAGCCAAGTGGACAAAACGTGGTCAAGATTAAAACGTCAGCTGAGGACACACTTCCAACCCATCCTGTTAATGTTACCCATGACATGAGCACCTCTAGTGACATGTCTGCTCAGAGTGCTGCATCACAGTTCTCTGCATCTGGTAGTTCAAATAATGTCACCTCTGAGCTTCACGGTGAACCTATGGAGAGCTGTAATACTGTGGAACCTAAAAATGAAGAGTTTTTCAGCCATGACAACAACAAGGCGCCACAACCAAGCCCAAAAGCAGCTGGGTCTGCCAACAGCACATTTACTGTTGTTCATCTTACCAATCTGAGTGGCCCCACCATTTTAAACACTACATCTCAAACACCCTGCTCTCAGAAAAAGACACTGGATGCTTCCCAATCTAATGTAAACAGTGCCAAAGTGAAGAGTGACTCTAATGAGCAGGCTAGTTCAGTCTCTAATAACACCACTGAAACTTGCCTCATTATGAATCAAAATTGCTCAGCTGTAAAGGCAAGTAGCTCATATCTGGTCCAAAATGTATGTTTTGATAGGCATTCCTCTCAAAAATCCAGTGGCAGTACTAGTTTAGGAAATACCAGTTCCACAACCCCATGCCACCAGAACACCACCTTTGATTGCAAGTCTCCCTCTAAACAGAATGGAACAATAACTTTGTCAGAAAGGAGCTTGAATGAGAGTCACCAGAAAACCTTGGGCATGACCTCTCCTTCTAAAGTCTGTAATTTAACCCATAACCCTAAAGGCAGCCCCCCTGAACTGTCAAAACATAACGAGACAACAGGTAGTACAGATGCTAATGACAAGGTGGCTGACACCCAGGAAAGCACATATGAAGCTAAACCACCTACAGAGGTAGCTTCTGTTGAGTGTCAGGAGTCTCAGGATCATTCACTATCGGGTCTTTCTGACACTTTGGAACATGAGAGCGTGGAGATGGGGAACAACAAAGCAAACACATTCAATTTGGATGACACCCTAGACTTGAGGACAGACAGTTTGACTGCTTCAACTCCAATGATTAACTGTAAAGTGTTAAACTTTGGCAGTGAAGGAAATGTGGGCAAAGCCATAGGGGTTCAGAAAAAACTCTATGGGGATGTCCTCAATAATCCACGCAGTCAAGTGCCATCAAACGTTCCACCAAATGTCATTGGTGACCCAAAAATACAATTCACTTCTAAATCCCTTTTGCCTACTTCAAAATCTGCATCCCAGCTGTTGAAATACAAACCAGCCTCCACACTTCCAGGCCTGCCCATGACAAGACAAAGAACCCAAGCTGAAGCTTTGGGAAGCACTGCTGCTTCTGGTGCAGCCCCAAAGGTAGGATTTGAATGTTCTTTGTAATTCACTAAGTGTGCAAAGTGTGGTCTTAATGAAATGGATCAAATGAGTTTCTCATCTGTCTTTTAAATCCACTTTTTATTAAGGAGACTAGACAGCTGAACACAAGCAGTGACTGCATGTATTAATGACACCTCTGTTCTTGTGTATATAAGGCTACAGGGACATCAAGCTGCTACAACCTACGTGCTGCAACAACAGGTATGCAGTGTGTGTTCTTACTTTTAGTATTGTTTTTGTAAATGGTAGTTTCCATAAATGTTATGGATGAATTATTTGAGATACAGGATGACTATTACTATGAGCTAAAGTTAAAATTTGTTTCATGTAAAATTTATAGACAGTTATAGTTTTGATTCATTTTACTTATCTTTGGCCTTTTGTTAAGCTATGTAGTACAGTAAAATGCCCTCTGAATGGGAGATGTGTGTGCTCACTGTCTTCTTCTGTGCTGACATTAGGATCCAAGCAGCTGAATTCTGGCTTGCCGAGACAGTCATTGATTGGGCTACGGTCAGGCATCCAGAGAGCTCCAACAGGTCTCAGGCCGCCATCAGCAAGATGCTGTCCACCAGTTTCTTCAAGTACTGATAAACTTCATGGGTCTACAGGTACTAATCCAGTGTCAGCCCGTAAGCTTCACTGGTTATTCTGATAATTCTCTTTGCCAGTATGAAAACTAAATGAATTAATTTGACAGTACTGAAATTCAGTTGGTTCTTGCTGTACATACATATAGTTGTAATTCTGAGACCCCAAAACAAAGAAGAAGGAAAATGATCAGCTAGAAAGACAAGCCACAGTGAGAGTATTGTTTGATGATAAATGTGATGTTTTGCTAGGCAGACATTTTTAATGAACAAATATGTATATTTTTAGTCATTTGAGTCTAATACTTGCTCCACCTTTGCAAATGCCATCCTGTGTTGATTTGACAAGGGAGTTACTAATAATTATTTGTAATACTTGAACAGCAAAAAAAAAGAGCCACAGTGAGAGTATTGTTTGATGATAAATGTGATGTTTTGCTAGGCAGACATTTTTAATGAACAAATATGTATATTTTTAGTCATTTGAGTCTAATACTTGCTCCACCTTTGCAAATGCCATCCTGTGTTGATTTGACAAGGGAGTTACTAATAATTATTTGTAATACTTGAAAAATCCCTGAAATGAATCCTCTTTAACTGTAAATTATTGAAGTAAAACAGGGTCTCTATCCTTTTCTTATGTGAAACAGGCCTGGGAGAAGGTTTACTATAATGGGATTTGTATTGAAGTGTGACAAAGGGTGTTTTTGATTAATCTTGTAATTAATGAGGACTGAGTGCCTTTTAAGTATTGTTTGCAATAGGGAATGATTCAGCAATTAATTTGATGTATATTTTTTTTATATTTATATATATATATATATATACATACAGCTGCTTACCCTGTGATGAAGAATTCACAAGCAAAGAAGCATCCCTTAACCAGAGAGGAAGCTTTGCCAACAGCAAAGAGGCAGAAAATTGGTAAATACTGAGCTGCTGCAAAGTAATTTCATGGTCATGCTGGTATTTTTTTAAAGCATATTGAAGATTGCGTGTTTAGTATTTGCCCAAAAGCAAAGTGACAACACCTACATTGACAACCATACAAGAGTTACTGTGATGGTGTTCAAATACTGGACTTGTCTCAAATATAACTTCCTGATAAGGTGCCTCATTTAGGTTTTTCCCTGCCATCTTTTCAGAGGCTCCCTTAGCATCTGGTAGTGCTGAAGCCTTAACATCTTCCTATGATGCTGCAAACAGAACCAAAACCCTGAAACACCCCACAATCAGTCAGAAATCTTTGCCAGCTAAAACCATAAGAGATAGTAAGTTGAGATCATATCATCTTGTTGTGTTACATAGAACGGCTAATTCATGTCATTTGTGTTGTGCCTTGAACTTTTTGAATTTGTGAGGTACTTACCTGCTTTTTATCATGCGTGTTCAGGTGCTGCAGTACCGGCCAGTACTGCTGAAACTGCACTATCTTGTGATGCTACCAGCAGAGCCAGAGCTGTGAAACCACCTGCAATCAGCCATAGAGCTTCACTAGTTAAGCCCCAAGGCCATGGTAAGTGTTAAGATGCCTAAATAAGCAGCTGAGGCCACTGCAAGTCTTGTGTGGCTTGGTGTGTGCTTGATAACTCCAGTGTCCTATTTGGTAAGTCCTCTTCTGGGTAGACTCCTGATTATTTGCATATTCAGACCTTCTTCACAAGTGTTTTTCTTTAGGTTGTTTGAAGACCTGCTCATTTTTTCCTATATCAGACACCCTTATTATTGACGTCTCAGTTAAACGTGTTTTTTTGTAGTAAACATAATGTCTATAATGTATGATCCTTGACCTATATAAGTAGTAGTCCATTGTCAGAATACTAACTTCTGCTCTAGCACCATATCGCACTGGCTGGAGGAAGCAAGAGTAATATAGGGAAGTTTTAAATGAGGTAGTAGCTCTCGCTAATGCATGTATGATAGTCAATACAGTAAATAAATGTGGAAGGTAAAGGGTAATTTGAGAGACCCTTGTCCTCAGTAATGTAATGGTTCTCACTATATTGCAGGGTGTGCCAAATGTGTCGTGCTTGAAGAGCAACTCAAAATGAAAGCAGAAGAAATAAGGAGACTGAAAGAAGGTATGACTTAATAAATTTATTGCAAATTATTAAACATGTTGTAGTGTTTTATCTGGTCTCATAATTGTGCCATTATCCCAATACAAATTTATTTTGCTGCATGTTTTAAAATTTCTGTTATTAATGCAATTTTCCTCTCTTCTAGAGCTGCTAAAGTACAGCAGACAAGAGGAAGAATACTGAATGATCCAATAAAATCCCACTATGACTATGTAAAAGCATATTTGTTTTTATTAAATGTTTTGTTGTAAGTTATTTCATTAAAAAAATTGAGTTTAATGATATTTAGGGCTTACTGTATATTATATGGTGTATATCAGCGTAGAGAGTTGGTTGATCGGTGACCAGTTGTATTACTGAGATTGATTTGATATCATATTCTTGAAGAAAAACTTGTTTGAAGATTTTTTTTTTTTTCAACCTTTGGATGGTACACCAATTATAAGTTGAGCCATACATGTCCTTAATGCCCTAAATAAGTTGCTATATACTCTGCAAAAGTATTAAAAAGGAGCTCAAAAAGTACTTTTCCTCATTGCCTGTATAAATATTAAAGATAGCAATGCCTACTGAAATGAAGCTATTGCATGAGTGTGTACTTTTGTTAATGTTAACACCCTCTAATATGGAGTTTATCAGTGGAGCAGTGTAATGTCTTTGAGATTTAAAGAAAATCCTAAGGTTATGGTGACCAAGTTGGTTGATATTTTTCTTTACAGTACCTATGGATCCGATGTGTTTCCAATAAATGGTGTTATCTTAAAAGATAATTGTCCTTTGTATTTCATTATGTGTTATACAGTACATAATAAATCTGTCTATAATGGGCCCCCAACACAGATGAAGCTCTGTAGGTTTCATCTGCTGAACTTCTATTTTCAGCCGCTTGGTGGCACCAGCCTCAGGTCGTGGTATGTAGATCTGCTGTCGTCCATCCTTGTTTTGTTGATGTACGTCGACTCTCACTTCCTTTCCTGACGCAAGTGGCCGGCGAAGCTGCTACAAATCCTTATCTGCCGCTGGTACAGCAAAACTGGATTTTATAGCGATTCAAACTAGTCAGACGCACCACCGGATAACTTTCACAAGGACCTAGGTAAGTGTCAGTGTTTGAGAAAGCCGAGAGATCATTCTTTGCTTTAGCGGAGAGCATCTGCCGTCTGCACATACGGGAAGGCCCATCTCTGTATCTCTCGGTGATGGCGTTAGCTTAGCAACAGCCCGCGCCACGTTACTGTTAGCGTTAACGCTAAGCAGTTCATTCAAAATCAGCGTCACCTGGCTAAGTAACGGACTACAGCGTGGTCACATAAGGATACTGTAAGAACTAATGCGTAGGACTTGTGACTGCAACTACATCTTTGTTTCCAGTTTTATTGGCTACTTGTTATCCATCGGTCACTAGCTAGGTGTTAACTAACGTTAGTCTGTGACAGATGCGATGATAATATTACACAGTGAGATGCAGGTTGCAAACTGCTTAGCCTTATTGACATTTGTCTGGAAAACTCCATTAGATTATACAAAATGAATATTTGTGAGCTCGAAGTCTTAGAAGTATGCAAGCATTGACAAATTAATGAAGCGAACCTAGTAAGCACCATTAGCTAGTTGTTGCATGGTGCCAGTGTAGCGAGCTAACGGTGGCTAGCCAGGCTGTCTTGAAAATAAATCTTAAATTCCTTTTGTGCTCCTCTATAAGTATCGTTCTAGCAACAAAGTTTTTTTGAGAGACGATAGCTAATTTTTCTCGGTTGGTTTTCTATTATCTGCTGGAGAAATCAGTGGCCATCTCTTGTCACCTGAATGTATGCACTAAGCGGTCCTTGAGAAGCACAGTCTGGGGCCTGGAAGCAGTACATTTATTCTACATCAGATGTTTGCACTTAACATATCTCCAGTATAATCTTGTCTTCACAGATTGGCATCTTCAGCAATGTCTCGTTTCTTTGCCACCGGGTCTGACAGTGAGTCAGAGGAGTCCTCATCCGCTGATGAGCTCACCCCTAAAGCACCCGGGACAACTTTCAAGCAGTCAGTACAACAGACAATAAATCGTATCATCAGGAATCAAATCCTAATTTTTACAGTGATCTCACATGTCGTTATACTTTTTACAGGTCATTGCTTCTTAGTGATGATGAGGAGGACACTAAGAGAATAGTGCGCAGTGCAAAAGATAAAAGGTTTGTATGAGGTTACATTCCTTGAAAAAACTACCGAGTGACTTATCAGATTTTGTTTTGAATGTATTCTTTCTTGATTCTTAGGTTTGAGGAATTGACCAACCTTATCAAGACTATCCGCAATGCTATGAAGATTCGTGACATGGCCAAATGTCTGGAGGAATTTGAGCAGCTATGTCGAGCCTTCCTCAAAAGCAAGAATATAGTGGACAAAGAGGGGGTTCCCTCTTTCTATATTCGCCTCCTGGCCGACCTGGAGGACTATCTGAATCAGGTCAGTAGCCCAGAATTAAACCAAAGCACTGTAAATAGAGCCTTTGTAATCTGACATGTTTTTTGCTTTGCATGCAGCAAATGAAGTATATTAAAGTTGATTAGTGCAGTCTGACATGTTCAGTATTCCACTCCTCACCTTTTGCAGTACAATGGCAATAATTAACTCTGTTTCCTTTCCAGCTCTGGGACGACAAAGAGGGCAAGAAGAAGATGAACAAAAACAATGCGAAAGCTCTCAGTACGCTACGTCAGAAGATTCGCAAGTACAACAGGGATTACGAAGCAGAAATAGCCACCTACAAGGAGGTAAATTAGGAAACTTCATACAGAAATTTGCTTGTTAAGAGTCATTACACTACTTGATAGGAATTGGTGGGAGGCTCTTTCAACATAATGTGCGGAAGCACTTGCCCGCTTAACAATACATAGTTTATGTGCTGGTGGAGCTGCTCAGTGGTTAATAGATCAGACTGGTTGTACTGGGCAGTTTCAGTATATGTAACTGTGAAAGTGGATCTGGAGATTCTACAAGGGGTAATAACCATGTATAAAAATAAAAAATAAAAATGTGTGTCTGTTAGAACCCACAGGAGTCTGCAGATGAGGAGGAGGAAAAGGAGCCAGAGGAATCTGGTAAGCTTTTGCACATGTTTTATCTTAAATCAAAAGAACTCTATAAAAGCTTGCAAGAAAACAAGTAAACTCTAGTGTCATCATCATAAAGCTAGAATGGGTAGGTGAACTGTTTACATATCTAGTAGGTGTGAAGCCTTTCCACGTCTTGTAGAACATCTGCATCATTCAGTTTTTCTATGCTTATATCAAGATCACGGGTGAATATTGAATATTAGGACAATCTTGGTTAGACTAAATAAATGCAGGCATCATCTTTAAATTTTATCCTAATCTTTGTCCTGCAAGGCTCCTCCTCTGAGAGTGAGGCAGAGGCAGGAGATGAGGGAGTATCAGCTAGGGCCTTCTTAAAGAAAAAGCCTGAGGCTGCCCCAGAGGCCAGCAAGTTCCTCAAGTCTGCCAAAGGATCTGGGGTAAGAGGGCAGCATGCATATAGAAATGTACTACGGAGAGAATAACAAGGACCTGATAATATTCATGAACTATGACTGAGGGGGATACCTGAGCTAAGTTTCTGGAGTTTTCCTCTGACAGGATGAGTCCTCCTCTAGCGATGACGATGATGATGATGAAGACTGGGGCTCTGACACTGTAGACAGTGGCAGGGAGAGCTCCTTTTTTTTTTTTTTTTAAGCTTTTAAGAAGAAAAAAACATGGACCAAGGATCCAGTGATTAATCTTTATTAATTACTTATATGACATTTTTGTTTTTCTAACATTTCATGCTATCTTTGACATATTGATATTTAAGGTAACTAAGTCAAGAACAAACTTGTCCTCTTGCAGTCAACTTTACCAACACATCCTCTGTCTGTCCTCAGGACCCAGGAGACCGAGAAGTCAACTGACAAGAAAAGTGGGAAGAAGAAGAAACTCAAGAAGAAAGAGCGGCTAGAGGAGGAGGCTGAGGAGGAAGGAGGAGAGGAGGTTGAGGGAGGCTGGGAGAAGGTGAAGGGAGGAGTCCCTCTGGTCAAGGTAAAGAAGAGATTGTGATAAACGCCTTGTTAAAATGATTATGATTGCTATTCATGAAAAAAAAAATTGAACTGTACGTGGTCTATCGATCCATACTTGTCTGTACCACAATGTCATTATATGTATTTTAGCACAGTATCGCTTCAAGCTCAGAAAATATGGTTTGGTCTTAAGGTAGATATGTTCAATTCAATTCAATTCAATACAAATACTGTATCAATGATGAGATTTGAACGGCCTCCCTCAAAAGAAACTCACGTCATGTGCATCAAGAAATGTAATTGTTTTGAATTTATCAGGAAAAGCCCAAGATGTTTGCCAAAGGCACAGAGATCAACACAGCAGTGGTAGTGAAAAAGCTGAATGAGATCCTGCAAGCAAGAGGCAAGAAGGGCACCGACAGGTAACGGCATCATTGACTAAAGCTCCATTTGAATGAGATTATAACTGCACGCATGTCATTAGTCGGTTAATCAGTGCATTTAGTATCTGAATGGTTTTAAATAGGACATGAACATTTAACGTCATCAGTAGTAAAAACTACAGTCCCAATTAACCAGTTAAATCCAGTGAGAAACAGCCAAAGACCCCTTTACCTTTGTTGTGTAGTATATTATGTTAGTCATTGTTGTCTTAGAGCAGTTTTTCTGATGTAATTTCCTCTCCTTCCCTCCCCCCTCTCTCTGACAGGGCTGCCCAGATTGAACTGTTCCATGCTCTGGCTGCCATTGCTGCTGAGAATAACTTGGGCCAGGGTATCCTGGTCAAGATTAAGTTCAACATTATTGCCTCGCTGTATGACTACAACCCCAACTTGGCAGCCTTCATGAAGGTAGGAGCCAATGTTTCCCTAAATACTAATGTTATTGTTAAATTCAGGGTTTGGTTTCAGGTTTGGAAAAGTGACCCTGAAGCATTTTCTTAACACTAATGTGCATATTTACGTTTTGACCCATTCCTTATGATGCTTTATGATATGAATGATCAGATTCTGGCTTTGGAAAAATGCAGTAAAACGTGTTTGTCTGTTAAACAAATGGAAAAACCAGGACTCTAATCCCAGTGTCTCTAGTTGAATTATTCTGACTTTGTTTGACTTTAGCCTGACATGTGGAAGAAGTGCCTGGAATGTATAGATGAGCTGCTGGACATCCTTTTTGAGAACAACAACATCTTTATCGGGGAGAACATTGCAGAGGACAGTGAAAATCTGGGTGTCTCAGAACAGGTATCCCATCTTCTGTTTTCAGATCTTGGTTTGCATGTTGGAATTTTTGTTGGCAGCTTCTCCTGGTTGATGGGAAACCATGCACCCCAAAACCGACCCCCCCGTGTCTGTTTCTATATTTAGCCTTTATATTAGTTCTATAGCCTTTATATTAGTGGTGTCTGCATTATTTTGATTCATGAAGCATTGTTTAAAGGCATATTCCCTTCTGCACAAATTGCATAATTTGTGGCTGTCTTGTAATCCCACATGGAGGATGGCATTACAGAGAAAAAAAAATTATAGCTTTCCGTGTGTGTTTCGCAGCCATTCAGGGTGCGTGGCTGCATCTTAACGCTGGTGGAGCGGATGGATGAAGAGTTTACTAAGATCATGCAGAACACTGATCCCCACTCACAAGGTGAGCTTTACCTGAAAACAGGCTCAAGAATTATTTTTAACTCTTATTTTAGCTGTGAATGTGCATCATAGTTTTTCAAAATGAATTGCTTGGATCGCTAATCACGCTGGTCAGCTTTCCCATGGGTTTTTATCTTCTTTTGTCAGTGTTTCCCTGGACTTATGGGGCAAACACTCAGCTTCAGAGTTTATGACCTAACATTAACTTTATTCACTTGGAGAGCAGTCTACATACGGTACATTCACACTGTGTACATCGTGCTGACCTCGGCAGCAGATGTATTGTAATGTTAGCTTGCATGTTAGAAGAGTTGGATCTCAGCAAAAAATCAACCATGAAGAGGAGGAGCTTTTCACAGATGGTCTGTTGTCATGTGTTTGTGTGAGTGAGTGAGAGAAATAGACTAGTGCACAGAGGGAGTGACAGAATACATGTGATACACAAGGCACTACATTGAAATAAGATTTAACTTACTATTTTAAATCAATATGTGACGGTCAGTGTTGATATTGTGGCAGCCTGCCACAAATAAGTCAAATGTCTTGGAAACACTAAGGTCACTGATTTCTTATCTGCTCTTCCCCCAGAATACGTTGACAACCTGAAAGATGAGGGACACGTTTGTGGCATCATTGACCGGCTGCTCACATACTTGGAGAACAAGGGCAGCACAGAGGAGATTTGCCGCATCTACTTGCGCAGGATTATGCATACCTACTACAAGTTTGACTACAAGGCCCACCGACGCAGTCTCGGCCTCCAGGGAGAGTCTAAGGTGAGCAAAGTGCACACCACTGTGTTTGTGTGTGCACACGGTACATCCCCAAGTCTCTTGTATGATTGTTCCTCAGTCCTTGCATCTCATTTGACCTGAACAACTTCCGGGTTGATTGAGGACGCCCCAAGACTCCTATATGTGTTGAGTCATGTGTCTGTCTGCTGTTTAGTCTGAGCAGGACCAGGAGGAGAGCGAGGGGGAGGACAGCGCTGTCATCATGGACCGTCTCTGCAAGTTCATCTATGCCAAGGATCGGACCGACCGTATCCGTACCTGCGCTATTCTCTGCCACATCTACCACCATGCTCTGCATTCCCGCTGGTATCAGGCTCGTGACCTGATGCTGATGAGCCACCTGCAGGACAACATCCAGCACGCTGATCCACCGGTGCAGGTAGGCAGACAGACACAAGGCTGCACAAGGGAACTTATTTAGATGCAAGAATAAACTTTTAAGAATACTGACCTTCTGTCTGTTTTTGTTTTGTGATTTTTAGATCCTGTACAACAGAACCATGGTCCAACTGGGCATCTGTGCTTTTAGACAGGGCATGATTAAAGATGCCCACAATGCCCTGCTGGACATCCAGTCCTCTGGCCGTGCCAAGGAGCTCCTGGGTCAGGGTTTGCTCATGAGGAATATGCAGGAGAGGAACGCTGAGCAGGAGAAGATTGAAAAGAGGAGACAAGTAAGTCTGACATAAGTTGCAAACTTGTCTTGGATCCAGTTGGATCATGTTTGCAGCACACCTCAGCCAGTTACCTGTAGGAGCAGTTTTAGATAGAATCACAGAAGGTTTCAGTGTGGTATGTGAAGCAGCTACTGAACAAGAAATGTTCCTCACAGGTAACCAGTTTCTAAGGAGGACCAGACCAGCTAAATATAAAGTCATGTGATACTGAACATCTCAGTGGAGCTACCACATGCAGTGATTGAATGTGTGCTTAACTAGTTTCATCCTGATGTTTTGGGAGGACTGAAAGACCAGGCTTGATGTGAGCTTGTACCAATTATTTTAACACGGCTTTGACCACCTCGCAGGTACCATTCCACATGCACATCAACCTGGAGCTGCTGGAGTGTGTGTACCTGGTGTCGGCCATGCTGCTGGAAATCCCCTACATGGCCGCCCATGAGTTTGATGCCCGTCGTAGGATGATCAGCAAGCAGTTTCATCACCAGCTGAGGGTGGGGGAGCGACAGCCTCTGCTGGGTATGCAGCATGTACAGGTCATTGCACCATGATATTTAATCCACAGAGAAACCCAAGGGGATAACTGTAGCTCTCTGTCCTCCAGGACCACCAGAGAGCATGAGGGAGCACGTGGTGGCCGCCAGCAAGGCCATGAAGATGGGAGACTGGCGCACCTGCCACTCATTCATCATCAATGACAAGATGAACAGTAAGGTCTGGGACCTGTTTCCTGAGACGCAGCGAGTACCCGAGATGCTTGTTAGGTGAGAGTGCATCGTTAGTCATTTTTCAGTTCATTTACTCAAATGTGCATGTTCATTCTGATTATGTGATTTCTGTTACTTCTGGTAGCTGCTGTAATTTAGATTAAGCAATTTTTTTTAATCATTAAATCTTGGTAAATTATTATTCACTAATCTACTTTTATTGTGCTTTAATGTTTGTTAATGTCACTCTAATGTTCATCAATTTTCTAGGAAAATCCAAGAGGAGTCACTGCGAACGTACCTGTTCACATACAGCAGCGTATACGACTCCATCAGGTGAGCACAAAGCATCAAGCACTGAACCTTCACTTTGTAGCCACAAATGGCTTTATCTGCAGGTGATTCTCTGTCTTCTGGTGTTAACCACAGAGAATTAATCAAAGCTTAACTTCAGTTTTATCTCTGAGATTTTTTTAGTGGCAGAAAATAGTGTTACAGTTTTTGTGTCTGTGCTCCAGCATGGAGACGCTATCTGAGATGTTTGAGTTGGAGATGCCCACAGTTCACAGCATCATCAGCAAGATGATTATCAATGAGGAACTGATGGTAAGTTTCCTGGCTTCTGTGTTGTGATGTAACAGGATGTCTATAGTGGGATTTCTGCCGAATCTTATACACATATACATTTTGTTTTCATTTGTGTATATATTTATTTATTTTCTGTGAAAATGCTCCAGACTTTCTTTGTCTTCTTCCTAACAGGCTTCACTCGACCAGCCCACACAGACTGTGGTGATGCATCGCACAGAGCCCACCTCCCTGCAGAACATGGCCCTGCAGCTGGCTGAGAAACTGGGCGGCTTGGTGGAGAATAACGAGCGCGTCTTTGACCTTAAACAGGGCGTGTATGGAGGCTACTTTAACAGAGGCGAGTTCAGACAGCACACCTCACTGCAGAACATATGTATCATATGTTTGCATGGTGTTTACATCCACATTAAAACACTTTTCTAACGCTGTGAATGAAAATGAACAGAATTCTTGGAGTGTCTTCTTTTCTTCTTCTTCAGAGTAATAACTGGTGGTTATTTTGCATTACAGATCAGAAAGGAGGCTACCAACAGAAGCAATCCTACCAGAGAGGTATGTTAAGCCACTCCAAGGTTGCACTTGTGAGGGGAAAAAAACATTTCTGGCCATACAATGATCTTCCTAAACCATACGTTCATTGCTGTTCTTAATTATGTTGCAGAGTTTGTTTGCATTTAATCAGCAGCTAACCTCCAAACTAAATTTAACATTAGGTTAATAATAAGGCAGCTTTTCCATTCTTAAGTGTTTGCACATGATAATCACAATTCCTTCTTCACAGATCAGAAAGGTTCTTACCAACAGAAACAGACGGGCTACCAGCGAGGCGGCTATAGAAATCCAAACCAAGGCAACTACTGAGCTTGGAACGTAGTGATTTCAGTCTCGCTCCCTGAGTTGTCTTCATTCCATAACAACGCTCCCTGAGTTGTCTTCATTCCATAACTTCCATAACCACCATCTGAGTTTCTATGCCTGGCACTCAGCGGTGCCGTTCTCCTTCATTTGTCAACTTTTTCTGAAACAGTAACTGAAATACAAGCTCTTCTCACTGCATGATTATTTTTTCCCAGAGGTTATTATTGCTAATAGAAGATTGAATAATAAAGGTGCAGTGTGGCTGGCTTGTAGCAATGCAGTCAGGCAACAGTCATGTCAAGTATTGTTCACTTCTACTTAAAAACAATAAAGTGTCTGTTTGAGTTGACCTTTTAGCTGTTTTATTTTTATATTCAAAACCAAGACAACTGATTACAATCTGTGAAACAAAGTCCCAGCTCATCCACAGCAAACTTTCACTCTATCAGTTAAAATTAATACAACTTTTCACAGGCCACTTAACATTTGCTGCGTATGAAAGCTTGATCAAACTTGTTTTGGAGAAAGGCTTATGGGTGGTTTAAAGAGGTATTGGATATTTCACACACATAAGGACCATCAGTTGATGGACAAGCATTTAGAAGTTCTCTTTCAATCCAGAAGCAAAGATCTAAGGTGGTTTGGCAGAGTTTGTTCTTTGGGTATCAAAAGACATGTAAACTGAAGATACAGAAACAGAAGTGCATTGTGAAATGGGTCTTGCATAACATTAATACTTCTAATTTTCTAAGCATAAGAAACTACTGGTTACTGGGATCCTGTATGTGATATCACCAGTGTGTGAAAAGGAAATAGTGTGACATACTTTGCACTTCACTACCCATAGAAAGCACTATGTAAGTAATAAGATCATGGTTCTATGTCCTGAATGACTGTTCAGATGTAGAGAACAATGGCTTCTCTGGATGCATGTGATCAAGTGACAGTGGATTCACATGTATTAGTTTGTCATTACTGGCTGAAAGAGTTGTGCCAAGAAACTGATATATGAACAGATTGCATGCTTTGGCCAACAGGTCACAAAATTAGAATTCATTCTATTTAATTGGTGTCACTTTAAAATGTAAGACACTGGGAGTTTTAAATGCTTTTTTATTACAATATGACGAGAAATCGTTTTCAAAATATAAGATTTCCTTTTGCCATTAGTTACTGTGAAGCGGGGAAACACTGATCCAGTTTGTCAGAGTAATTTAGGTTAGAGCTAATTAATGCTTCATTTACATTCACTTTAATTCTTCACCAGTAGACAGTAGGTATTCACTTTAAAATGAGCACAGAGGGTGTTAACAACTGTTAAATGTACTATGATGTGAACTTGTCTTTGCTACATTTAACAGCCTTCCTATTCCACGCATTTCCAATGCATTAGGACACCTGAGTGTGTTCATTGCTGATGGACTGTTAGCTGCCTCCCCTCAGACCTGGACAGAGTCTCCGGCGGAGCTCTTGCTTCAGCAGATCCCTCTCTTTGCGAATTCCCTGCAACACAGTGCGATTCTCCTGAGCTCGACGCACCAGGTAGGGGAGCGTGTCGTCCACTGAGCCATAAGGCACCGACTTGTATACTGCATAACCCTCTTTAGCTAGAGGAGAGAAGAGAGAGACAGTGAGCAGACATGATGAGGGGAAATAAAAGAAAATGTCAAAAGATAGACACGTGAACATATTAATCATCTAAGCACAATATAGGTCACTTCAAAGGCAAAGAGAAGTAATTAAAAATGTTTAATTGAATGCAGTTTTCCATTAGTAAATATGTTTATCAGGCAGATCAATGTGGGATTTAAGTGCTCCCCTCTGCTTTATGATGTTGGTGCATTTTAGCATTTAAATCTTGCCCAGAGCATTTTTAAAAGGAGAGTGAAAGTTGCACACTCAATCCCTACAGCAGCTGTTGCTGTGTTTTCTAACAGGACCCTTTGCTGAAAATGTAAATGAAAAGAACGCCAGCTGAGGCACAGCTCACCCATTGTGAGGGAGACGTGATCACACATACCCAGCAGCTGGCCAAAACACACTGAGCCTCCATCTTTGTCTATCCCCAACTGTTCCATCCTGAAGGTAATACATACAACAGATACATCATTTACAGGAGTAAGACCCAACCTGGGGTTTGAGACCCCAGAGGTGGAAAGTAACTAAGTACGTTTACTGAAGTTCTGTACTTAAGTACAGTTTTGAGGTATCTGTACTTTACTTGAGTATTTCCATTTTCTACCGAATCGGAGTACTTCTTCCACCACTGAGACCCCACCTGGGTTCACATGATTAATTTCTTCCTCCATTTCGGTATTAAGTTGCTTGGATCTGTATATACCCTCTCAGATATGATAGCTGTCTAGTGTAAATGAGAGCAACTTCTATGGTAGTTTCACTCGGTGTCTGACCGTTCGGCGGCTCGTCTCACTGACTCCTCGTTGTGAGTGGCGACTATAATCCTGTAGCGCTCAGGTTTCTGGGATATGGCTTCCAGCATCACATCCAATGAGCCGTTATAACTGCACAAACACAAGTAAACAGGTAAAATATGTTAGAGTCAGACTCACTGTTTTCAAGAAGGGCTTGTGCAAAAGGCCTTCATCCCATCACAAAACTATCACATCTGAGTTGATTTTTTTAACCAGGTAAAGGGGTTTTTAGTATAAATCCAGGTGCACTGGTAAAACTGACCAAACTCATGTGTTTTATGTAGTTTATGGTTTTTCTGGTTGTGATTAATGGCTGCTCTCTCCTATCCACACCTGTTGTTGGTGTCCTCCCAGCTTTGGTGGATGGGGTCCAGACGACCCTCTTTCTCTGCCAGCTTTCTCTCTTTGTCCATGTAGGCTCCTCGTACCAGCTTGACTCCCAGACAGAAACCCTCATTCTTGGACAGAAGCAGACCTTCTAAGAGGAGGGACCTGGACTCCTGAAAGACAGAAATGTTAAGGGGAGTATTGATGATGTCTTGGTTTAACAAAATACTTAGTCTCACATTCAGCACAATGTAAAGAAATGCTCTGATTTCCAGGAATTAGAATATTAGCCTTCAGGTAGCACTGATATGTGTTCCAAATCCAGGCGCCATCTTTGTTAAACTTCTTCATCATCGCCGTGGTGACAAGAGAGAGGGCGGGGTTCATGTAGGTGTACTCTGCATCGACCAGGACTCGGACTTTGTTTACACTTGCCTAAAAAAAAAATACACAATCAGTCTTTAAAATATATTTGTCACTGCACTAAAACTACAGCATTAAATCTAAATTCAATTCGGAGATTGAAAATACTTTGATGCAGGTGTCCGATGTAATAAAATTTTCCCATGATCCTTCACGTCTGTACCTCTCCTATCTTGTTAAGGCGCTGCAGGCCACAGAGGAAGTGTGCAATTTCATTTCCATCTAAACCAGGGAAGTTGATTTGCTGAAATAGGTAATTTCAGGTGAAGGTCAAATGTCTTTTAAAATCACTCATCCTCATCAATACTGTAAATATATATATGAATTGGGTAGAAGGAAGACATCTAATAAGAGTTATTTTGGTGAACTGTGCACATACCTCTCCATCCAGTGCTCTAACTAGGAGATTGAGGTCATATGGTTGTTGTGAAATGAGGGTTGTCAGTTTCACCTTGATACAGGAAGGACAGATTCACACATATGCAAATTTAGACAGAGTAAAACAAGAGCAGCTGTGGGAAAATAAGGTTATATGAATAGCCTTGTCTATTCATTTAAAAGAAACCTTCAACAGCAACATATCAAACACTAAAACGTGTGTTCATATCCCCCCTATTTAAACATCACACAGCCAATATTTGACTTAGGTCCACCATCCAGTGTGTCAGGGTTCACATATGGCCTCAAAAACCTGGATGTTTTTCTCAACTGGGTTTCGTTATAACAAAAATGCACAGAAAATCAATAAAATACACGGGCAAATACTATTGGTGTCCCAGAAAATCTAATGGTAATGCCCTCCTTTATTGGAAAATTGAAAGTCTTATCAGGCATTTCTTCCATAATAACATCTTATTTACAGTAAATATTAAGCAGGAGTTTA